CTAAGAAGTTACCACTTAGTAAATAAGGAACAGAAGTTATTGTGTTTTTTTGTCAATGCTTAATGATTTCATAGTAAGAATTCACAGTGGTCATTTTAGCACTGATATAATGAAGTAGATTATAATCCTGAAAAGAAAATTTGAATAAAATCACTGCTAACCAAAGCAAAACAAAACAAAAACATACATCTATTGTTTTAGTTGTAAAGGGCAGGAGTCCAAAATGTCTCACCAAGCTGAAATAAAAATGCTAGCTCACCTGTATGACTTCTGGAGTCTCTAGGGAAGAACTCATTTTCTTGGCCTTCCCAGCTTGTAGAGACAGCCTGCATTCTTGGGCTTTGCAACTCCCTCCTTATCTTCAAAGCCAACAGTAGTCTATGGAATCTTTCTCTTATCACCTCTCCTCTGCCTTCCTTTTGAAACAGCACTTGCAACTACAGTAGGCCCACTCAGATTAGCCAGAATAAACTCCCCATCTCAGGGTCCTGTACTGACTGACATCTGTGAAGTCACTCTGGCCATGGAACAGAACAGAACGTGTGCACATCTAGGGATTAGGAGGTGGCTGTTCTGGAGGGACCCTTTATTCTGCCTACTGCATGCAGTGCCTGTTGAAGGATGTGAGCTTTAGCATTTTCACTGTAATAGAAGAGAAAATTAAAATTGGATCATTTAAGGGAGTAGCTTTGTATCCCATGAGCAAGAGCCAGATTCAATACTTCCGACTGCCCGGCCCAGTGTCCCATTGCCATTCTTTAAGTCTTATTGAAATGAAATTGAATTTGCAACAATGGCAGCTATCACAAAGGAGTGTGAATATTTTAATGCCTGAAACTCTTCCAGAATATATTGCATTCCAAAAGAGCAATGGATGGATTCTGTGATCGATCTTTTTAAATTGCTCCTGAAATTCTGTACTTTGGCCTGGTTAATCAGTCCATGTGAGGAAATAGTGATTTGGGACTTTTATGGTGTAAACTGCACTAAATACTAGTACTGTGAATAAATTCACAAGTCTTCCTTCCTTTGACCTTTACTGGGCATTGCCTAAGAATTTAATGAATTGAAATATAAATTAATTTCACTCAGCTTTGATGTCAATTAACTGGCATAGTTATACCTTCAGTCTAAATTACATACTTCCATTTGCTGTTCTTTAATTAAAGTCACTGTGGCAAAAGTTGAAGTTTTAATTAATGCAGGGGCATTATCATATTAAGTTTAATTTAAACATAAAATAAGTACGTTTTTCTCCCTAAATTAGTTTCCATTAATGAGTACCCTAAAAGGCATCTTTAGTTTCATTTTAAAGCCCAAGTTTGGGACCAGCAGTTGGCATAATGGCTATGTCGCTGGACTCCCATGTAGTTGATCATGGTTTGAGTCCTGGACCCGGTGGCTTAAACTAACCAAGATCCTGAGAGGAGAATGGAGGAGAAGGGATTATGGCATGGCCATCCCCCCTGGGGAGTGATTTCTCACCTTCTGTCTCTCTGTCTCTCTCTGTCTTTTTGGCAAGCGCATGCTTCCTATAGCAAAAACCTCTCAAAAAAAATAAAAAAAAAGCCAAAGTTTAACCTTAGTAGTTTGCTTTTGTTCATCACCATGCATTAAACCTCTATGTGAGAAAGAGCATCAGTTTAACCACAAGAAAAGGTGAAGTCCTCACTTCCATCACTTTCCACTCTGTAGTAGAAGTGGATCATAGGAAAATTATGTAAAAATACATAATTTTGGGTGATTATTAAGTGATAACAAAAGAAGTTATAAACTAAATGATCTCCCGGACAAGAGATAACAATCCCATTTGGTTTTGCGTAACCAAGGAGTACAGTGTGTTTGGATTTTAAAAAGTAAGCATCCAGCGAGCTCCAGTTCCCTCTAACGTTCTAGAACTCCAGAATCCCATGTCCGATGCCAGTCTTTTTTTCTGCTGATGGCAGGAGCCTTTGAGCTCTCACTTCTGTCAAGCTGCTGTCTTCTGTGTACTCCCAGGGTTGGGAACGGTACCGCAGTGACCAGAAGGAGTGAAGGGGTGTGCGCTGTGGTTGGCTTCTGTTTCTGCTGATGATGGAGAGTCACCCACCACCTCAGCTGATAGGCAAGAAACCCTCGTTATAGAACAATGCTCTGTACAGATCGCACTGATACAGTGTAGGTAAAGAGTTGGAGCTCACCCTAGCTACCCCTGGGAAACAATTAAATTGCATGATGCATGATAAATTGCATGGTTATTTTACAGTCTGTCCAGACAACCTCGATATCTACCTCCTCCTCAGTGTTCTAATGGAAAATAAATATGGCATTCTGCGCTTCACTCAGTGGGCAGCTCCGCTCTTTCATTGCCCAAGTATAAGCATCTCAGAAATGGTTATTGTCACATATGTGTTGGAAAAATGGGATAATTGTGGACCTCACTGGATGTGCACTTCAGAAATACAGAAGAGACTGAGTGATTGTGAGGCTTTAGGACCCCCAACAGGGCATGAGGAGCTTGCTGTGAGGTCTCCTGAGCATTGTAGGACATTTCGCAGAATCCCTGGCCTCTGCCCAGTAGAGGCCAGTAACCATCCTCAGCTGTGAAAAACGAGACTGTTTCTAGACAATTCCAAAGGCCTCCTGTCTGGGAGACAAAATCAGCCCTGGTTCAGAACCACTGGCCTCAGTAGTGAGGACAGGAAGGAAACAATGATGTCATATTATTTTTATACTTTAGATTGATAACCCATCATTTTTTTTAACAGGGCAATTATACTCTTTCTGAATACAGTGGGAAAGACTCAGAAGGCTGTGCAGTAAAATCTTGCCCTAGCACTGAACAGAGTGTTGTAGTACAATGTAGTTGAGGAAGTTCTTACCTGATGCTATTTTTTTTTTTTTTTTGGAGAGATTTTCACTGTAGGGCACGTGCGCTCGCCAGACAGACAGAGAGAGACATAGAGACAGAAAGCGAGAAATCACCCCCCAGGGGGGATGGTCACGCCGCAATCCCTTCTCCTCCATTCTCCTCTCAGGATCTTGGGCATGCACGCACACGCGCCCGGCGTGAGTTTTAAGCCACCGGGTCCAGGACATGAACCGTGGTCGACTAGGTGGGAGTCCAGCGACATAGCCATTACGCTAACTGCTGGTTCCCCCTGATGCTATTTTAAATGAGAGAACAACTTGGGTTTGATTGTAAGAGGAGGTTGGCAGTAATGTAGGAGGCTTGATGAGATAAATTGGATAAATGGATAAACTGCAAAGCCCTTCTGAGCAAAGAGTAGGACAGACACAGTTTAGAGGTTGGAAACATGGCAGTCGTTGGACTGATTCTGGAATATGGTTTTGCCACGTGGGTTTGAGAGAAAGAGAAGTAGCTGAGGACTTTGAGAGTTTCTTTGACAAGAGTTTGAAGGCTTGTGCTCTGGAGTGTCAGCTCTTTGGAGACTGGAACAGGGACAGGAAGAGTGGATTGGGAGAAAACAGGAGAGGGAACAGAGTGGAGAAGTGGAGGAATACTGGCAGTGAAGGTAGGAGAGCAGGAGGGCCACTCATCACTGTAGTAGGGTGCTTGCCACTTAGCCCCAAGCCTATGCTGAATAACCCTGTGGATGACTGCATGAGAGTTCTCAGATACAGAAGTTGTACAGAAGGTTCTTAGGGCGGGGAGGTCAGAAGAGTGTGCCAATGGGTGCAGCACAGTGCGTGGAGCAGAACAGGGACATGATCCTGCCCTACAGGGAGGTGACATTGCTGCCCTGGTCTCTTCCTTACCTAGGGCTCCTGAGTATGAGTGGCTTCACTTGAAGGGACTTAAAGGATAGCATTGAAGGTGGAGGGGCAAGGAGCAAGCTCTTGCTGTTGAGTTAACATTGTGAATTTTGTTCTGAGATTCTAGGGTACAGCAGAGAAGAGAAGCTACTGGACTGGGCCATAGTGAGTAGACAGAGCAGAATGGCAGGATAGGATGGGAGGCCCCAGGAGCTTATAACTAGGGGAACGGCCTGATGGGCTGGAGAGCCTTTAAGTTCCAGACAGACAAGGTGGCAGGGACATTTGGTGAGGAGCTCCTTCCCTGTGCCAAGCTGATGGGGCCCTAGCCAGCCTGTGAACATCAGGACTGCAGTTAACCTCCCAGGGCTGGAGGCTGCTTCTGAAGGCACAGCCTGGTCAACGGGATTTTGTCCAGTCTCCACTTCCATTGTGTCTTCTCACATAAGTTTAGGAAGATAGTCTTTTGGGTGACTCTTCAAATTATTCTTCTTCTTCTTTTTTTTTTTTTCCTTTTTCATCTATAGTTTTCTATTCTCTTAATGAAAATATCCTGAAACTTCCTTGAATGTAGGCAAAGTGTAACAGTTCAATAAGTAATGGCATCTCAGCATGTGACCAGTTTCTTAATCCATTCTTTTTTTAAATTGTATTTTCTTATTTACATATAATAGTTGTATGTATTTGTAGGGTACAGTGTGGTCTTTCAAAACATGTCTATAAAGTGTGATCAGATCAGGGCAATAAACATGCGTACCAAAATCATGTGGGCATTTATACCAACAGCTTAACTTCTGAGGTGGAGGAAGGAGACTCTGCTTCCTGGGCTGGGTGTTTTTGGACAAAGGAGATTGAGACAAGCAGCCATTGCCCTTCAGCTATATTTCTTTTAATAGATTATTTGTTATTTGCAAATGAAAAAATGAAAGAATGATTTAAGTCGCTTAGGGAGCCAACGCAGGGAATTACGTTATTCACTTTATTTCTCTGGCATGTGAAGTATCAAGGACATATTAGACTCTTGGTCGACACTTGTTCTGTAAATGAATAAAGCACATGAAGCTATAAAAGCTGCCCTGAGCAACGTCCACATCATTGCTATTGTGTTTCAGTATTGAGGTAAGCTTGAACTGAATGTTAAAGTGCTGAAAATAAAATAACGCCTCTTAGATTTCAGGCACAGGAGGAGGAGCCATTGCATTTTTATGTGTTATAAACACTTCTTTTTACCTCTTTGCTTTTAGGTGGTCTGAAGTGTCCTGTTTGCAACTTCGTGTATGGTACCAAATGGGAGTTCAACAGGCACTTGAAGAACAAACATGGTCTGAAGCTGGTGGAAATTGATGGCGACCCCAAGTGGGAGGTAACTTTTTAAAGTGTGGAATTGATCTTGTTATTTCTTTTTCTTTTTCTTTTTTGAGAGATTTTTTGCTCTAGGGCGCTTGTGCTTGCCAGAGACAGAAAACAAGAAATCACCCCCCACAGCCTCAAGGTGGGTATAGCCACACCACAGTCCTTTCTCTTCCAGTCACCTGTTGGGATCTTGGGCATGCACGCATACATGCCTGGTGTGAATTTTAGGCCTCCTGGTCCACGACTTGAACCGCAGTTGACTCTGTGCAAGTCCAGTGACATAACCGTTATGCCCTCTGCTGATCCTTTGTTCTTGATACCTCTAAGCACAAATGATAAACCAGGCAAGCATGAGCATGGGCATAGACCACCATTCCTCAGAGTTCTAGATTTTCTGGTAGGGAACTTCTGAAACCTTTCCAATCATGTCTTATGTCTGGGGAGTACAATTGGGTGAGATCTGGGCCGTGTGTAATTTATGAGTTCTTGTTCCAGGTTGAATTTAGACACTTTTGTATGTTCGTATTGAGCTCATTGATGTTATGACTTCTGTTATTCACAAGCCCAGAGGTTTAGATGCTGCCTCTAAAAAAATAAAGGAAGCCACGGAGTACTTGCCACCCCCACCGAGAGAACTGCGAGGGCTCATTCCCCACATCCAGGCCCTGCTCTCCATGGGCTGAGAACTATGCCCCTTCTTGCTTTTTCCAGACCTTAGGAGTCGGAATCAGATACTGAGCTGAAATCACATTTGTACTGGAAGAGTCACTCTAAAAGCCAGTGGCCATCTCTTTATAAGCGCCAGGTGTCACTATCATGGACTAAGCGCAACTACACACGCGGTTTCTCAGGCTCAGCGCTGCCAAAATCCTGGGCTGGGCGATTCGCAGTCATCGAACGGCTGTCCTGTGCCATATAGGATATTAAGCTTCATATCTGGCCTCTCCCTGTTAGATACCAGTAGTGTCACACACTCCTCTCCCCAACCTCTGCTGCAGCAAACAAAGTGTTCCCACACATTGCCAGTGTTTGGTGTGCCCTGGGCTACAGAGTCACCCTCCACTTGATCTGAAGAGTTTTACAGAGCGCTTAGCGGTAAGAGTAAGGGCTTTGGAAGAGTCCATAACGCATGAAGAAAATAATAATGATCATGTGAGGATTATTCTAGAATGCAAGAGAAGGGTGGTTTAGTAGGAAAGAATATGTTAACATAATTAATCATAAAAGAACTATGGAGACAAATGACATGATCGTCTTTGTAGATTCAGAAAAGGCATTTGATAAAATTTAGTATTGGCTGATTAAATAGTCAATAGGCCCAGCATGGAGGTGCAGACGGTGGGGTGCTACAGTGCTGGGGCCACATGGAAAATAGTGGTTCAGATCCTGGGTCAGCCTGAAACATGCCTGCCACGTGTGTGCATACATACATGCCCATGGTCCTGGCCATATCAAAGGTCCCTGTTTCTCTCTTTCTCTCTCACTAAATAAAATATTTAAACTTTCAACATTAAAAAGAAGTCAGTAATAGAGAATTTGATCATTATATCCTTAAGATAAAAAAAAGTGTGGAAAATATATAGAAAAAAAAAATGTGTGTTTCAGCCCAAAAGCTAGTGTGCATACATACATGCCCATGGTCCTGGCCATATCAAAGGTCCCTGTTTCTCTCTTTCTCTCTCACTAAATAAAATATTTAAACTTTCAACATTAAAAAGAAGTCAGTAATAGAGAATTTGATCATTATATCCTTAAGATAAAAAAAAGTGTGGAAAATATATAGAAAAAAAAAATGTGTGTTTCAGCCCAAAAGCTAGCATCTCCATGGTGTGGAAAATATATGGGAAAAAAAATGTGTGTTTCAGCCCAAAAGCTAGCATCTCCATGGGAAACACTCTAGTGTGTCCTCTTGTCAGAAACAAGGCAGGGATGCCAGTAGCTCGACTGCTCTTTAATTTGTGTTGGGGGCATCAGCCAATGTGGTTAGACCAGGCAGAACAAACAGGTGCAGAACTGGGGGCCGGGGGGGATAAAAGCATCTCTGCATCTAATAGGATTATATTTTTGGAAATCCAAAAGAATGAATGAACAACTACCACAATAAGCAACAGGTTAAAAGAGGAGCACATAATAATCATATTTATTTGGATGTATATATACACACATGCACACATGTGTATATGTAGGTATAAACATATATAGTCACATATAAGATAGAATGAAAGCAAAGACCCCAATTATTATAGGAAACCAACAAATCCAGATATACCCACTCAAAAACCTATAAAGAAATGTCCAAAATGTAAACATGGAAAACTATAAAACATGCCTAGGATCAGCCCATGGCATAGTGGTTAGGGCAGCTGGATCCCATATGACCGGCTGCACATTCCAGTTCCAGATCTGATGGCCTGAGAAACATACTGGGTGCATGCACGTGGATTCATACCCCAAATCCCGACGGGGGATTTTGGGAATCACTTTCTTTCTCTCTCTGTCTTTGGAGAGTGCATGAGCCCTTTGGCAAATTAAAAACCACACACACACACAAAAATACTGCTGAAAGAGACATAAACTTAGAGTTGAACAAGTGGATGGGAAAAGTCAGCATCGTGAAAGCATTAATGCTCTTGAAGGTCTTTTACAGGATAATTTATCAATGTAATATGATCAAAATAAAAATACAGTTACTTTTCTTCTGGAGCTTATCAAGTTGCTTTGTGAAGTGCGTTTGAAGAACAAGTGTGAGAAGATGGGAAGACCTGGGGTGGGGGACACATTAGTAGGAGGAGAATCTCAGCAGATGCTTAAGCCCGTTAGGAAGCCTGCGTACCTCAGCTTTGCATTGTGTGTGTCATAGGTGGATGACAGTGAAGAGCAGAGAACACTCAGAATAGACCCAGAATATATGGAAATCTAGTGTATGATGAAGAATAAAGGTACATATAAAGTAACTAGGAAGAAGACAGCGTTTTTTTGTTTTGTTTTGTTTTGTTTTTTAGGTTTCTATCATAGGGTATATGGGTTTGGCAGAGAGAGAGACAGAGGGAGAGTGAGAAATCATGCCCGAGGGGGCATAACCATGTAGCAGTTCTTCTCCATTCTTCTTTCAGATCTTGGGCATGTACACACGTATACTCAGTGTGATTTTCAAGCTGCTTGGTCCGAGTCTTGAACTGTGGCTGGCCATGTGGAAGTCCAGTGCCTGAACCACCACACTACCTGCTGGGCCCAGAAGATAGGCTTTTTAATGTAGGATAACTAAAATAGCCATGTGAAAAAAGATCGTATTGGATCTCTGTTTTCGAAACTTGTATGAGACAAATTTCAGGAGGATCAGAGATTTAAGTGTAAAAATAGTAGTATTTTACAAATACTAGAGAAAAATACATATAATATCTACAAACGGGCATATTGAAAACTTTCTTAACCATAATTCAGAATCCACATTCAATAAAAGAAAAGATTAAAAAAAACCTTGACTACATGAAAATTTTTAAAAATTCTTCTAGAAAAGAACTCATAAACAAGTAAAAAGATAAAAATATTTTCATAGAAAAATAATTAAATCTTTTTAGTATGAGAGATCATTAATAGTGATGAATAGGAAAATGGGCAAGAGATAAGAAAGGTTCATAGAAAAGAATGCAAATAACCTTGACTATCTGGAAATAGGATCAGCCTCACATGTAATAAAGGAAATGCTAACTAAATCTTGACTGGGATAGAATTTCTCGGGAACCAGCAGTTGGCGTAGTGGCTATGTCGCTGGACTCCCACGGAGTCGACCGCGGTTTGCGTCTCGGACCCAGTGACTTAAAACTTACGCTGAATGCGTGTGCGTGCGTGCCCAAAATCCCGAGAGGAGAATAGAGAAGAAGGGATTGTGGCGTGACCATCCACCCGGGGGGTGATTTTTTTTGCTTTCTGTCTCTATGTCTCTCTCTGTCTGGCGAGCACACGCGCCCTATAGCGAAAATCTCTCCAAAAAAAAAAAAAAAAAGAATTTCTCACCTATTAGGTAGAAAGAAATCCAAAAGTTTGAGGTCATTTTGCTAGAGAGGATGTGGGAAAATTGCTCTCACGGGTTGCTGGTGGGAGTGCAGAATGACTCAGGCCTTCTGAAGCGGAGAGCAGTGTGTAGCATAATCACACGTGCACTTCTTCATTAACTAACGATCCCAAAGTTACTCTGCAAAAGTAAAGGTGTCTGCACGAGGCTATTCATTGCAGCATTGTTGATAATAGCACATGGCTAGGAACAGGCTGGTGCCCACCAACAAGAGACTGGATGACTGCATTATGGAGTGTCTACACCATGAAAAACCATGAAGCTATGAAAAGGAAGAGTCCATTCCTCTTTGGTGCTATATTGTGGTCTCCAGAGTATAGTGTTTGGTGTGTGTGTATTTTGTTTATGTTTTTTAAGAATTCAAAGGCTAAACTTAAAAACTTTAAAGGTGGACACCTGTAGCACATGGATCTGTGTGACAGATGAATGACGTAATCGCACTGGAAGGAAGGCAGGGGTTAACCTAGGCAGCTTTGGAAAGCAGGGTTGACCAGATCCTCTAGGGTTAAAGACAAAAGAGCCATAGGTAGGCGCCATGGTCTAGTTAGTAAGTGTGTTCTGACAGTGCTAGGGCTTAGTAGCGCTGACACTACTTCGTGTGTGTATTGTGAGGGAGCAAGTAAATACGTCGTGCAGTAGATAATCAGAGCCGTGTTTCTCATTGTTGGAGAAAGGATTACAAGTAGGCACAGGGGCACAGCTAGAGTAGGCCCTGGAGTGCTGAACTGGGGTCAGAGTATCACTATAAACTCATAGTAATTAAATGTATAAAATTTAAAAATAAATAAATAATATTTAAAAAGACAAAAAAGTACATGGGGCCGGTAGGTAGTGTAGTGGCTAAGGGACTGGACTCCCACATGGTTGAGCATAGTTTGAGTCCCAGACCTGGTGACTTGCCTTCTCCCTTTCTCTCTCTCTCATGAATGCACATGCCTTCTAAGCAACTTAAAAAATAAAAAACAAAATAATTATTTAAAAACCCCATATCTATGTATATACACATGCACACAGAGTCCAGATGGTTAGTATACATATAACATATGCGTATTCATAGTTTTGTGCTGAGAGGGCCTCTGTACAGTGACACCCCAGCAGTAGTAAGTATGCCCAATGCCCAGGTCTAAGTACTAATGCCATTCTCTAATAAAAAGAACTGGGTCCTTGGAAAAATGATTGATTCCAGGACTGAGGTATAAAATATATAAGATGATCCTGGAGCATCTTGTGGTAGTAGAAATGGTAGCATGTGATGGATGGATGGATGAATGGATGGATGGATGGATGAATGGATGGATGGATGGATGGATGGATGGATGGAGGTAGATAGATGGTAAAGAAGAGGAGAGAAGGAGTCCTGTATGTCAGAAGGACATAGGAGCTATCTATCTCGAAAGAGCTCTGAATGGCCAAAACTGAAGCAATTTAAGTAACAAAATAAATAATGAGAGTAATGATTTATAATTCAGAGAATAAAGTAAATATCCATGAGTCCCTACTGACAAAAATGAATGATTGTGTAAATAAACAAGGGAGGGGAGACCACTTCCCTGTAGAATTCCAAAGACTAGATATAAAAGGAATGCAGGATGTAGAAAATCACCATTAGAAGAGCACAGGAAAAAAAAAAAGAAACAAAACACTTAATAGACAGAAATGAAAATTTATGCGTGGATGATAATGTCCATGGTAATGTCTTTGACTTGCTAATATGCACTGTGTGCATGCTGAGAAAAGCCAGGTTGTACAATGCAAAGATGTTCAGTGATTAAATAGAAATAAAACAATTAAAAAGGCCATAGGAATCTAGATTCTGCAGGAGACAGATCCATCAGTGAATGTTTTAGTAGGAAAAGCTTAAGGAAAAAGAACATTTACATGTCCTCAAAGTATCTCCTTCCAAATATTAATTAATTACAAAATATCTCCCTCCAAACATTAAATAATTGCAAAGTATCTCCCTCCGTTAGAGGCACCAGGCTGACACCATGGTAACCAAGCCTCCGAGGTTGACCTCATCGGTAACAAACACAGTGACATCACTCAGTACCTGGTGTGATAGGCCGGAAGGGAAACCTCACCTCGTGGTGGTCTTCAGGAAAGGCCTCGGTCTGTGTCTGTGAAACATCAGACGTATCCAGATGACACGCGTGGTCAAGGCCCTAACCTGTACTACTCCAGACCAACCAGTCCTGACAGCAAGCAAAAACTGAACTGTGACTGGAGGAGAGTGTGGTCAAGGCCCTAACCGGTACTACTCCAGACCGACCAGTCCTGACAACAAGCAAAAACTGAACTGTGACTGGAGGAGAGGACAGACGCAGGACTAAGTGCACTGCAGGCTCCTAGACTGGATGCTGAAACAGTAAAAGGATGCTAATGGAAGAACTGGTGGGGTCTGGAGAAAGCCTGTAGTTTATAGCTTGTACTGATGTTAATTTCTGGGTTTTGATAACTGTGCCATGATTGCATAAGACGTTAACATTAGGGGAGCCTGGGAGAGGGTGATCAGGGACTCTCCGTTCCACTATTTTTGCAACTCTTGTTAAGTCTAAAATTATAAAGTAATTATAACAGAAAAGGGGGTCATTAGTGCAGACAGGGAGGCAGAAAACATAAAGGAAATATCAAGGAGGGGCTACACTATTAGCATCGTGTGCTGTGTAGATTTGACTCTGATAGCATGGAAATACTTTACAAAATAGTGTAAACATTTAGTATAAAATGAAACAAATGATTCTGGGTATCGTATTGATGGCATAACTATTCCAAGAGGAGCTATTTCAGGAGACTGTAAACAGTAATTTGAGTGTACCTCCCTAGTGGAATATAACCTAAGGCCAAAAAGAACTATCAGAAATGTTCTGTTTTCAGTCATCCTGTTGGTGGTGGTAGGGATGATTTTGTTACTGTGAGGCTGTCATTGGTGTTGAGTCAGTACAGTGAAATACAGAAGACATGTTGAATCAGTACAGTGAAATACAGAAAACATGTTTAATTCCTTAAGTTTTTGATGCTACTTGGAAGAAGAAACTCAGTCATGTTTTCAGGGTGCTAGAGAACCTACTCTTTGTTTTAGAAAATGTCAACAACCAAGAATGAAGCAATTATCCTACCCTACAAAACAAAAATGAACAAAGGAAAGTAGGACCAGCCCTGTGGCCTAGTGATTGAGGAACAGAATCCTACATGGCTCCCCACTGGTTCACATCCCAGCCTTGGTGGCCTGAAAAATGCAAGTGTGTGTGTGCACATGTGCTCGCTCGCTCCCTCCCTCCCACTCCCTCTGTCTCTCTGTCCTGCACATGCCCTCCGGCAGAACAAACAAACAAAATACACCCTCTGTCAGCATAGCAGACATTTGGTGAGATGGGTTTCCTATACAAATGTTTCCGCTAACACGTGGAAAATTAGAATTAGAATGACCATTTTGCAGCTTTCCAGTGATGTTCTGGGATCTCCCAATGACCATCAGTCACTGCCCGCATTTCCAGAAAGAGACAAACCACACAGTGCTGTCCCCTCAAGTGCAGAGAACAGCGTCTGTCTGAAGCATTCTAGAAGAAACCCGAGCCTGGCTTCCTTTAATAGAGAGGCATGTTCATTGATTCCATAGTGATGTAGTCAGCAAAATCCAGCGTTGGGAGCTCCGTAAGGCAAACACCCCTACCCAAACGTCCGCAAGGAGCGCATTGGATTAAGGGAGACAGGTCCTGCATGGCTCACTCTGGTTCAAATCCCAGCCCTAGCAGCTTAAAAACTCACTGGGCATATGTAGGTGAGCATCTAAAATCCTAACAGGGTGGAGAAATGGATTGGTAGGAATTGGAGTGTGATCATGCCCTATTGGGGGATGCTCGTCCCCTCTTCCTCTCTCTCTCTCTCTCTCTCTGGTGAGTACTCACACCCACTAGCAATTAGAATGGAATTTTAAATAAATTATTACGTTTTCAAATTATGAGCTCTGTAATTGGACAGACTTTCCTTTGGATGCTGCCTCTATAAATCTATAACCCGCTTAATCTTGAACCATCGGTTAATCTCAATGCTGTCATCCCTGGAGTAGGATAATGACACCTCAGAGGTGCCAAGGACTGTGACAAGCAGTGTATAAGATGCTGAGTGCTTGTGGAGTACCTGGCGAGCCCTTAGTCAATGGCAGCAGCTGAGATTGTCGTGTTGAGGCTTGTCTCATCAGCTCCATGTCTCTGTCTGTGGTAAAACAATGACTCCTCTGCCATTTCAAGTACATACTGTGAAGATTCGCTCTCTGTTAACAAAGTGCACATTGGAATGCCAACTCCTGATGTAAACTTCAACCCTCTCGGTCAGTCAGTGTTTCTGTAAATGCATGCAGTAATGGCCCTCTCCTCCCGAGGCCTCGCTTCCGGCAGACTTCAGCACCTTCAGCAGAGCTGCGGACCCAACGAAAACATTAGACACAAAGCCATGTACTTGACTCTAAATGAGACAGTAGAGCAGCCAGCAAGTGGGCACAGGGTGGTCACCAGTGAAATCACTATTTCAGCTGCTTGGCTGCCACCTGGCCCCAGGAACGCTTTGCAGAGAGCACCTCCTTCCTGAGAGTGTCAGTTGCACAGTTGTCCCAAAATGAGAGAGGCCATCTAGTGCATCTCATCCTTTCATGGGCCAGGGCCTTGCTCAGATCCAGTGCTTGCTAACACGTTGCTTAATGGTACTTAAAAGGAATGTTCTTTTGGTTCATTTATGCATTCATCAAATATTTATCGGGTGTCTACTGTATGTCAGGCTGGAAACACCTAAATGAACTTGGCCAGTTGCTGTAAAAGAATAATTACATGCTGCTCTGAGCCTCTATGTCAGTTACTGGTAAGTGCTTCTAGAAGATACCTTTGGCTCCTGTAAACTGAAGTCCCCCTTGTTCTTTCTTATTGGTGACAATCATGCTTCCTGCCATATGGTTTTACTTGCACTCTTTAGCACTTCCAGAAAGAGGTAGTTAATTCTGTGACACTTCTACTCTGCCTCTTCTCTTCTTGGGGTACAAGATGAATGGCACCCTCACAGGTTCTGCTTTGCACAGATGCATTTCTCGTGGTCAGTTTTGCTTATTTTTTTATATAAACAGAAGAGCAGGAACAGCCATGGTGGTGCAGTGGTGGGGCAGCCCCTGTAATGCTGGAACCATACACAAGACCACAGTTTGGATCTCAGGGTGACTGGAGGGTGTGTGGTGAGGGGGGTTGTGGCTTGATGAGACCCCCTCTCCCCAGTCCCGTTTCTCTCTGTCTCATGAAGGAAATTAAAACTGAATAATAAACTTAAACAATAAGGACAGCGTGACTAGCTAAGATTTGTTGAGCTCTTCCTCGGCTCCAGGACCTATGCGGCATGTGCTCTGTTGTTACCCAGATGTTCCCCTTCCACTGTCAGTCTCTCCATTGCTGGTGCTTCCTCTGCTGCCCACTTGTCCCTTGTCAGGGACAAATGCTGGGCAATGGTGGGAGCAGTGGGAGGAGGCAGAGATTCATTAGAAGCACACAGACGAGAGCACCAGAGCTGATGAGACCTGCACCTCTGAACAGCATACCTGCTACCTCACAAGGGTGTGCAGCCAAGAGCTTTCCACTCCAGCTGTCTTCAGGAGGCCTTGGTACTTGCAAAGAGGTTTCTCTTTGGAGAGTGTATTTGTTGGAGCAACTGATTTCTCAGGGGTGCCCGGTAAATGAGACGTGGCAAAGTATTGCTTGCTTATGTGCATTTGTTTTGTCTTAGCACATTATCCTAGAACTTCTGGGCAATAGTTGATCTTGTAGAAAGTCACTCGGGTGTTCTGTTTTTATTTAGCCAGCAACAGAAACTCCTGAAGAGCCCTCTACCCAGTATCTTCACATCACTGAGGCCGAAGAAGATGTTCAGGGGACACAGGCAGCTGTGGCCGCACTCCAGGACCTGAGATACACCTCTGAGAGTGGTGAGAGAACGCCTCGTCGCCCTTCGACACCGCAGACTGGTCATTGCTGGGCATGCTGAATGAATGAAGTGGGGAATGAGGGAAGCCCGGTAGTTGATCTGTTTCAGAATCTCTGACCTGGCATTCTGACAGCAGAAATCGCCCCACTGTCAGGCACCAGAGTTCGCTGCCTCTTGGGAACATTTTGGAATAGAATCAAGCAAAGATGTGCTTTCTCATGGGGTTTCAAGAGTCCTCCACATCTCACTCTCAGAGAGTTCTCGTGAGAGAAACATGCCTTGCTGTCCTCACACAGAGACAGAGGGTTGCTTTCCATTGTAGAGGGTTGTCAGAGGTCACATTTGTGAGTAGTGAAACTAGTCCTGGAGTCTAGGTCTCCCGACTTCTGGTTGGGGCCTTGTCCCCATGCCGTGCTTCCTCATGGCCATCTGTTCCAGGGCCCACAGGGGCCAGGCAGGCAGCGGCAGTGGGTTCTGCAGTCAGCTGAGTGGCCAAGACTGACATGCAGGGCTGTAGGCCCAGGATCGCTTACTTTCCCAGTTTCCCCCAAAGGCCTGATCTGGACTTTTACATCAAATGTCATGATGCTCAAATGTTAGACCAATTGGAAAAACACACCACTGGGCATCTTCGTGGCAACTGGGGCATTACGCTCAGAAGAGTTCTCTTGGTACTCTTTTCACAATAGGAGCAAGGTGCCAGTTAATGCTAGACGGCGTACATATTTGGGGAACAGAATTCAACAAGTGGGATTAAAAGGGAAGTATTTTTGTGAACATTTGTTTGGTGTGCTGTGATGATACACAGTGATTGAATGTTAAAAAAAAAAAAAAAGAATAAAGAAAAAAACGAGGGACCAGCAGTTGGCATAATGGCTATGTTTCTGAACTCCCATGTTAGTCAACTGCAGTTGAGTCCTAGACCTAGTGGATTAAACTCACACTGGGCACATGTACGTGTGTGCCCAAGATCCCAAGAGGAGAATGGAGGAGATGGAATTGAGGTGTGGTCATCCTCCCTGGGGGGTGATTTCTTGCTTTCTCACTTTCTGTCTCTCTGTCTTTCCAGCGAGCGCACACGCCCTATAGCAAAAGAAAAAAAAAAAAAATAGGAAAGTATTAGGTAAAGTCAAAGTCAAAGGGGATAGGAGGTAAGCACTGGGAAACACAGTTTCTACCTGGCTCCTAAGTGGCCATGCCCCAGGCTGTGAGAAGGCTGCTCACAAAACTCCTAGGGGCCAGTTAGTTTAGGGATGATGAATGGCAGGGCTGTGCTCATTGCCTGCGGAGCTGGAGCCGCAGGATTCCTGAGACAGTGCCTCCACTTCTGCAGAAGGAGAGTCAAGGCCCAGCGTCCCAGCTGAATCTGTGTCCTTCCTTAATGTGCGGTGACGTCAGTGATTGCTCAAGACTTGCAAAATGCAACCTGTCTGAGTTCATCCCCCATGAACGCACGCACACACGCACACGCACTCACATACTCATACAAACATACTCCTTCCAGAGGCCTGCTGATGTTTCCTTCTGACTCTTAGAACACAACTCCAACTTTGCAATGCAGCAGGCCAGGCTTGCTCACCCGCGCTGCCGTTTCGCGCCACCCCACCCTGGCTGGGCTTCACTGGGCAGACCTGGCAGCTGTCAGCGAGGTCTGTGCTTCTCCCCTAGACCCTGCAGTGTTCCCTGGGGTGTGGTCTGGTCCCCTCCTCCTCACTTACCCTCATCTTAGTACTGAACTTCATGTGTCTACCGAAAACTCACCTGACTTTGCTGCACTCACCCCCTGTTGTCCTGTTATAGGACCACAGAATTCAATAAATGGGATTAAGAGGAAAGTATTTTTGTGAAAATTCCAGTTGCTGTAATGATTTTTCTCCATGTCTGTCTCAAGGGTCTGTGAACCCTAGAAAGAGAGGAGGGGGACGGGTTTCTCGACCTCAGTCTGTACTCCCAGTGAGAATAGCAGCTCCTGCTGACAGGGCTTGATAAATGATCACGAAGGGAGTAAATAGATGAGGGGTTAAAGCCACAGTAAGTTTCACAGGTACATCCTAGTTTTTGGATGTTCGGAGTGGGTGCCTACAAGGCACATTTAAATCCCCTTCCCCGACGGATGTGCATGTGTGCGTGTGCGTGTGTGTGTGTGTTGGGAGGTGGTTATGGCTGCGCTTGGGAACATGTGCAAGTCATACCTCAGTCCTAAGCTGGGGTTCCACCCCCTACAGGGAACAAGCGCTGTTTCCCTTCTCTGATCTCTTACTGACTGGCTCATATTGGAACACAGCCCACAGAGAACTGCCCCTGAGGACGTGAATGCTGGCAAAGGCTTCATAATATTATGCTAACATGGAGATCAAGCAGTAATTTCCCCTTTAGTAAATTAATGATCAGGGTCAGGGTGTGTTCAGGAGGGCTGCAGATGGCCAAGCAGATGGTGAGAGCAGGCAGGGTGTACTGAATAGTTGCCCTGATGATATGGACTCCAGTCTCTTGAGATGATTAAAATAGAGCCCCAAGCTTAAGTAGGTTTGGAATTTTAAAGCACAGTAGTCGAATAATTGAGACATCCTTGGATTTTTTGCCCGTAGCTTGTGTAATCTATCTGGCACGTGTTCGTTGACCACCTACCAAGTGCTGGGGGAACTGCCTTGTGTGGTTGAACGTGTTAGCTGGGATCCCCTGGGAGTTCTGCTTTGAGAGGAAGGCTGTGTCACCAAGTTAGGATTCTGAACATCTAGGCCTGAGTTCTGGCTTGGTGATGTAATCCACTCAACTGGCTCTGACAAGTCTGTCTTCCTTTTGGCATGCAAGCGACTAATTGGCAAAAAGGGGCAATATCACAATGCCATTTCTTTGTAGGGTTGCTTAAGATTTGGGCTGTTCTTATGGAACATGCTTTGTAAGCTGTAAAGTATCATGCCAATTATTTCTGTTGTCAAAATGAGCGATGACTGACAACCTGGACATCCTGTGGAGAAGGTGACACCCAGGAGAACAAAGGGGCTGGTTTTGCATTCAGGGCCCCCCATCTCCAGTGGCCTTAATGGTCTTCTGTTTGCCTTTTTCTCGCAAGGTGACCGACTTGACCCCACAGCTGTGAACATCCTCCAGCAGATCATTGAGCTGGGCACCGAGACCCACGATGCCACTGCTGTTGCCTCGGTGGTTGCCATGGCACCAGGGACAGTGACTGTGGTGAAGCAGGTAAGGATACTCTTCCAAATACCCACCACTCCTCACACCCTCACGTTCTGTCTTTCCCTTAGGTTTTTGAGTCTTTAACTTCCCTGAGACAGTATTTGGAATGAAATTGGTTGAGTCTCGTGCATTTTCTTAATTCTTCTAATTATTATGGGATTGCATCTTTAGAAGCTCTGTGGTGTGTGTGCGTATGTGTGTAAGGTTATTTGAGGAAGAGATATAGTATATTTTAATAATATTCTGGAACTTTTCACTTGTTTCGAAGACTCCCAGAGTGAAAATGAGCATGATATGCACATATTTAAACACATCTCTGGTGAAAAGCAGCCCTTAATGCCTGAGGTCCCACTACTGAAAAGAACCATGGGAAGTGTGGAGACAGCCAAAGAGGTCAGGAGAGTTTCCAAATGGACTGGCCTTTCTGAATAGTAAACGGTACCTGGTCAGACCAATACAGGATGCTGAGCTGATGGGAAGAGAACGACCAGTTTTGGAATAAAGGTTGCTCTAGTAAATGAATAGTTATACCGTTTAGCTCACTTCTGTTTTCAGCAGACGGTTTATCATCTACTAAACTCAGTATGTTTGATAATTATTATCTACTTTATTATCTACCATCTTTATTATCTACTTACACCTATTTCTTTACCTATTATTTCCTTCTTTGTTTTAGGAAAGATTTAAGCTGGCTTGCACGATACCTTAAAAACAGAAAACATTCCTACCAACAGTATGAAAGGGTTCCTTTTTCATGCATACTTTGGAAAGCCATAGTGTTTGCTACAGAGATGTGTAATGGTGAAATTAAAAAATATATATACATCAAAACACCAAAAAAAAAACCCACCAGAAAACAAAAACAATAAACACATCAGAATCAGGGAAATATATAATTTAGAATCAGCCCAAGTTCAAAGGAAAAAGTTGAAATGCAGACCATAGAATACCATTATCAACTCATTGAAGAAGTATTTATTTAATTTTTTTTGAGAGAGAGACTTTTGCTATAGTGCACGTGTGCTTATCAGAGAGAGAGAGAGAGACATAAAGTGAGAAATCACCTGCCTGGGGATGGCCACACTACAGACACTGTAGTCCCTTCTCCATTCTCCTCTTGGTATTTTAGGCATGCATGCACACAGTTTCGGCGTGAGTTTTAAGCTGCTGGGTCTGGGACTTGAACTGTCGTCGACCACTTGAAAGTCTAGCGATACAATGATTATGCCATCTGCTCGTCCCAGAAGTATTTATTTAGTGCCTGCTATTGTTAGGCAGTGTTCCAGCTTCTGGGGTTCCAGGAGAACTAGTGTCTGTGATGGGGGGGGTCACTTCCCTATGGAGTATGTCTACTATAAACAGTAGGACAATATGAAGGATGTCAAAAGGTGAGCAAATGCAGAGGATAAAAGAAATTATGATGGGATGGGGTGTGGACCATGGAGTGCAGACTGAGAATGTGTGAAAGGGCTATTAAGGACAGTGTTGCTGACATTTGAGGGGCGACCTGGAAGAGCCATGTGCTATGACAGCTATTCAAATTGGATTATAACTTTGGCACTAAATTTTATACCATAAAACAAGAAGAAAATGGAGACAAGCTAATTTAGGAAAGGGCTAAGTGTTGCTCGGCACTCACAGTTGTGCAGTGCAGCTCTCATGTAGGACCCTGATGGGGTGTCCCTGGTGGCCTGCCCTTGGTGCTTGGAGGTGGATGGGCTGGTGCCATCTCCGTGGCCCTATCCCGAGTGTGCCAGGCCACAGTGCAACGTGAAATGCACTGAGGGGATCAGTACATGCAGTTCTGCTCTGGATTTCTCAGTACATAGGTAAGGCCTCGCATAGTTAGGTTTGTGTTCGGTTGTGTTCTCAGTCCCTTCACCGTGGTGTGGTCTATCTCAGGAAGGTCTTGGACGGAAGGTGGACATGAGGCAATTGGGCGTTTCGGCCTGCAGTGCCTGATACTCTATTGGTTGAGAACAGACTCACACTGTTCTAGGCTAAAGACCCGTTAGCTTTCCTTGGTATTTAATATGTTGCTTGTAGTTACCCAGACTGTCTTGGAAATAAATCTCTCCTGAAACTCCACACTTGCACCTTGACCTGCAGAGTCCTGAGTTTGACTTGGTGTTTTAGGAAGGCCTTGTTGGGAGAGTATCAGGACAACTTCGGATGTTCATCCCTGTCAAATCCTTCAGAGGATGCGGAAAGGTGCTGTCAACAGTGATTTGTGTCTCCCTCGGAACTGGATTGACTTGCTGCTACTCAGGAACATGATGTATTGAGCATTGCAGGCAATGCAGTGGTACACAGGTCGCGAGGCTCAGGACACAGCTCAGATACGCTCCGAACCATTAGACTGACAGCACGACAAGGGATGAGGCAGATAAGCATCCGGTACAACTGTGTAAACAAGCCAAGGTGTTTGCAGGAGGAGAAAACAGTGCATCCTTCAGAGAATCATTTTTATTGCAAACACAGGGCTAAGCATGGCGCTGTGGAACAGTCTTGAGAAATGGCACTTGGAAAAGTGCCCCAGGAAGGTGCATGTCCTTGTCATTATCTTGTCTGCCTGGCCTAGCACTGAGCTCATGGAGGCTGCTCATAAATGATGGCTCAGAGAGTGGACAGGTAGATTGATGGGCAGGCAGACATTAAATGCTCCTACAGCAGAGAGATTGCAGTGGTCCAGGCTCTCCTAGAAGGAGGACTGTCCTATCACTCAGTCATCCTATCATTTAAATTAAAATATAGCTGTTTTATTAGAAAAATTGATTGTGGTTTTTTTCTTTTAATTAAACTCGGGCTTAGGATTTTTCAGATGGGAAATTATATTGCTTCATGACTGAGCTGAAATGTGTTAGACCTGTTAGCAGGCAGTAGTGCCCCCTGGGGCCAGACAGTGGTACATCAGTAAAACGCTGTGCTCTGCGAGGCTGACCCAGTGGGAAGGTTCTGGATTTGTGTCCCGAGACCTCCCTGAGTACACTGGGCATGTATGTGCCCGTGTTCGGGGGCTGGCTAGAGTCTGGGTGGATGGCAGTGCCAAGACCTTGTTGGAAGTGCTCTCTCTCTTTCTGTCTATTTCGCTTACTGAAGAAAAGAAAGAACTTTCCAAAAAGAAGTCATTTCCCTCTTGTTCAACATGTAGGCAGCAGCTTGGTATAGGGACCTCCTCTTGCTGCGCCCAGGGCGGTGTGCCGAGCTGTTGCTCAGTGCACGTGTATTGGGTAGGATGGACTGCACTGGGGTCTGTGTTTACATTTTCCAGCCATCTCCCGTCAGTCCACACTAGAGAGAAACAGGAAGAACGCCGCGCCGTGAAGGACATGATGTGCGTTGCGAAACAGACGAATGCACTTACTGTTGGGTGGCATAGTTCGAGGTTTTTTTTTTTATAGTTTCCTGTTTTATGTGCATCTTCCATGGGGCCAAAAATGATTTCTAGGTTGCTGGATATTTAAAAATGTCAGGATATTTTCCATATAAACAACTAATTTAGGTATGTGCTTGGTTGGTCATTTTATTTTTTATGACCTGTTAATGTAATTGGAAATAATCTTACATAGCAGAATTCGTCAATAAGAATTGAACGATTAACCCTAAATCTTTTTGTGTTTTTGATCCTGGAATGAAAAAAAATGCCAGGCTTGTGGGTAGGCTGACAGTGTTTGGACCTGAGAAAAAGAGCCAAGAAAAAGCTGTTTGTTTCTTGGTTTGTTCTCTTTTTTTTTTTTTTCCAAGAGACATGGAAGAGATCTGGCCCATAATTTAGTCCATTTGTATTCTCTGTTGGATGTAGAAATCTGTCCTCAATGAGCCCCCGTCACGTCTTCCTTTTCTCAGATGTCAGAATTAAAAATAGATCCGTGAAGACTGACCGTTTTGAAATGCTTAGAAAGAAAGTCGCGTGCCCCTCACCAGCGTGGCAGGAGTCTGATCATGTTGAACGCAGCTAAGTGTCCTTTTTAAAAAAATTAAACCAAGCAGCTTTCATTAAATAAATTGTTTTAGTTTCTTCCTTCCTTCCTTTCTTGCTCTTTTTTTTGGTTGTTGTTGTTAAATCTTGCTTTAGGACTTTATGAGGAGGAAATTCATGTGATTAATAAAACTGCCTAAGTAGGTCATACGTAAAAAGCCATCAGCGCAGGAAATACTATCATGAGCATCTTTGAGTCAAAATTAACTATTTATAGGAAAAGAAAGGCTTGAAATTTAATGGTGACAGTTGTCACTGCTGGCCGATGGCGAGGTCACTCTCTGCTGTTGTGCCAGCAACAGCCTTTGCCTGGCCCCGGTCGGCCCACTGAGTGCCAGCACTCCACTGCAGACCGCAGTCATGCTGCCCTCCCTGGGAGCCAACACCCCAGCGGTGACCGTCACTGGCAGCACTCCGTGGGCAGGCCTGGGTCTCTGCCCAGTGGGAGCATCTTGCCTGTGGCCCAGGGCGTGGCTGCCCCTAGTCCAAGCAGTGAGGGGCCCCACGTCCACTGCCTGCCCTCTCCTGGTTCTCTTCAGAGCCCCTCAGGGCTGCCCCTCTCTCTTCTGTTCCTTGTTCTCTTGGGATGTGCCGGAAGCTGCCAAGCTGTCTCCGGTGCCTCGGTGACAGGGAACACCAGGAAGGCACTTCTTCATCTTTTAAGGAGCAGTTTTCCCAGAATGCATGCGCCTGCCCCTGCCCGCACAGCCCCCCAGCCTCCAGCCTGCCATGCAGCAGAATTGTGCTGCCATAATCTCATTCAAAATCCCACAGGCTGACTGCTGATTTTTTTTTTTTTTTTAAGATAGGAATACCAGCTTACACAAGTCTGCCCGCCTCTGCCAGCTGCTCCACAGGCCCTTGGTCCCCTGCGGGTGGGCCCCTGGGTGGTTGGCACTGGCGGCTGAGGAGTGGAGGAAGTGTCCATCCTGAGGTAGAGAGCGAGGAGCGCCCACTCTGTGGGCTGAGCATGCAGCACTGGGCGGAGAGGACTCAGAACCAGTTTGCGCTGGAAGGCGCACTGGTC